GCTCCTCACCATACAGTAAACTCATACTGTGAACTCATACTGTGAACTCATACTGTGAACTCATACAGTGAACTCATACACGTGCTCCTGACACCTCGTCATCACCACGTGCTGTGGTCTCCCAGTTCATTCCGTGGCCACCATCATCGAGCAGGTCACGTAAGCTTACAATATATATACTGGCAATCTTATACTTGTTGTCATTAAATGACCAGTTACAGCAAGCCGCCCTGGTTAATTTCAATTTCTTCCTATTGGCACTTGTTGTCCTGGCCTTGAAACCCCTGAAAAGGAGTCTATTTATTAAATGTGGTCGGGTGCAAGCCTCCACACATCGAGGGATGTGATATGTTGAGGTTTAGAATAGAATAGAAGTGTCGGTGTTGAAGAAATAGGTCCATGGCCTGTTGCCGATTCTTGAATTTTTCGTGACTTGATTCACAAGGGATCCGGCCTTTGGAACCCGATCTTTCCATAACTGACGATTGTTTGAGATAGCTGCTGGACTTATTGCCTGGTCCGTAATTTGCTATAGGAATTTTAAGACTGAACATATGCTCCTGCATAGCTTCGTCTAGTCTGTTTTTGAAGATGTTCATACTCGGAGCGTCAACGATGCTATCAGGGAGGCTGTTCCACATGTCGGTGACTCGAAGCGAGAAGAAATGTTGTCGCGTGGATGTGTTACAACGCAGTTTTTTTAGTTTATAGCCGTGGCCCCTAGTGTTGGTTCTTGTTTCGTGATCTTGCAAAAAAGATTATAAGAAGATGCGATGATTGAACAGTATTGCATAAAAATCAGTATGCTGAATTAATAACATGACAAAAATTAAGAACAAATTGATATTCAGTAAATAAAATGTGGACACAATCAATTATCACGCAACACCATTCTGCCACTGTTTCTAAGGTCGGTTGAGACTGAATTCTCTGAATCTATGGCCAGCTTTTTCTTAGTTTAGAAAAAGTTTGTGTAATTTGACGGGCTTAAAATGTTTTCTCATTCATGAAGTCCGCGAAATTACATCATGCAATTTCCATTTCATATAATAAATCAACATAGCACTCCTCCTATAAATGATCACTCAAAACTTCGTAGCATTCTGCGCAATGGTGGTCTCTGCGTGAACGCGGTAGAACGCGGCATCTGGAACGCGGCATGAATGATGCAGGGAACGCTCACGGTTAGTAAACCATAATTGATGATCATACTGTGCAGAAAGAGTAAAATTTCAAAGAAGGCATATCGTTCGGTTAGCTTGCATAAAATCGAACGCGCATGAAATGTTCTAATAAAAAAGTTCAAAATTTCATTAAGCCTTGCCAGTGACGATGCAGCTGCACGCAGATATGTGGTTCAGATAAGGTTTCTATCACACATGTCTAATTATTTATACTTCTGTCGTCACCTGTAGCAGCTCACGCAGAGCTTGCTGCCAGCTTTGTCTTCTAAAAAAATCAGTTTTCTTTTGACGCTCACGGTAAGTAAACCACAATTGGTGATCATACTATAAAGAAAGAGTAAAATTTCAAAGAATTGAGTCACGTAAAAATATTGAAATATGATATTGGGGCCGGTTTATCGAAACATCGCTAAGTAAACGCAAGTACTTACGCAATGCGTCAGAAGACGTAACTCCAATCGGTGATGTTATCAATGCAGTTCGGCGTAAAGTTACGTCAAAAGGACTTTACGACAGCATTGAGGTGGCATAAGTGGAGTTACGTACAACAATTTAGACGGTGAAGCGATTAGAACTCATCATGTCACGAATGGAACGTCGAATTGTGAAAGATTTTTGTTTATACCTAAACAAATGATTTGTAGTCGCGCTATTAGTGAACGAATTTTAATCGTTTTACGCCAGGGGATAATTGGTTTTATACCCGCGTTAGAAATAGCAAGCAAATGTTAACCTTTAAATCCTAGAGTTCCCGTGATCATAAACTAAAATCATATCCATATTAATTTTCACTGCAAAATTTTTGTACAGCTCGCCCACGCAACCATTGTTTTCAGCTCCATTGACATTTCTCAATCTTACAAAACGCGGTCTCCAATTTATACAATTGTCTATACTCTAGGCATGCCACCTTGATAAATCCTCTAACTTTATTTAGGAAAATATGAACTTTTTGTTTCAAATGAATATTAGTCACTCATTTATGCATTTTTTCTCCGCAGATGTCCTAAAAAATTATTCTTAATATGTGGAGCAAAGCAATGATTACTAGGACAAGATGCGGCAAAATTTATTGTTATTTTTTTTATGTCAGCAGTTCCCAATCAGTCAACTTAATGAGCACTTGACACGTTGTTGAACACTATATGAAAACCCATACCGATGACTCAATCATGAAGTATTTAATGAGTGCTCTTCGCTTTCTTTTTGCTTACATTTTCATGAATAAGCTTCCACAAATTAGGTTAATGAAGGGAAAACGTTCATCAAAATTGTACCAATAAATGCTAGGCGTGACATTCAATACAATATTTTCGTATTTAATTTAAATTTTGCAATTACATCACCGGCCTTGAATTTTTCGTATCCTCAAGCTCAACTTATTTATCTATTTTTGGTTTTGATCAATTACATGGAAAATAAATTCATTTACTCAAATGAAGCAGTGCAGAACTATTTTAACTGTACCTACTGGTAAAAAAATTATCCAAAGAAAATTACAAGCCCATATAGATTTCATTATGAGCTTATGGTTATTAAATGATTATTTTTTATATTTTAGAAAGCGTATGTAGCAATAACTTGAAAGCTTGAATGATACTGCACTATCAAGTTTTTCTATTTAAACATAATAAGCGTTATGATTATCAACAGTTTTAGAAGACCAAATTCCTTCAAAATCTTTAGTTGACTAATCTGTTCCAAATTTTCATGTGTGGTTGTGGTCCGTGAAATTGATGAACTTTAAAATTAAAATATCTTGGATGGAGCTGCTCCGAACTCCATCGGGTACTGGGGAGCTACATGAATAATTTATTTAAGAATCTACAATTTAAGTGTGGTTTTGGAAAATGGTATTATACCAAATAGTTAAAATTTTTTAGTTAAAAATTTTTCGTAATCATAGCACATATATTTTATTTTACTCCTATAGAACATTTACTTGAAATGCCCACAAAAAATTTAGAAAATATTTTTTAGCTTGGCTAAGAGAGAGGGTGAGGCGAAAATTTCTTGTCAATGATGCATAAGTATCAGCAACTATATTGCACTTACATCGCAACTCATCCCTAAAATAATAAGACGTACTTAGCAGAAACTGCACATATCTCGCCACTCGTCCCCAAGAACCAAATACAGCAATTGTCAGAAGTACGATTATTATGGTTCTATTTCCAAATAACTCATAAGAAGCAATTCTGATCGCGCCAGAAAGTTGTGGCTCAGTTCTGTTCACAAAATAGATCGTTTCTTTAGTAGGCTGGCGACATTAGTGGCATTGACATTGATGGTAGTGGTGGAAGAATGATGAGAAAACTGACAACTTTATGGTCATTCTTTAAATTTAACTATAATATCACAGAAACCATACTTTTCAATAATGAGCTACTGAATCTTGAAGCAAAATTGGGAATGAAATTGGATAGAGCAAAACGAAAATTTATTTGCACCTAAAATATATATAAGGTATATGCAATCTTACTAGCTCAATTATGCTGTTAGCTGATAACTGCAGTGTTTTTCCAGAGGATGGTAACTATCAATCTTAGTTCAGCCACAAGGTTTTAAAAGCGGTTTCAGCGTTATTAGGCCGTAGGCCTGTCGCCGATTCTTAACATTGCAGAACATTCACAGCATTTTGCGGTCTCGAACTCGCAACTCACTGCTACAATTCTGCTATGCTCAACCGCCCGGCCTCCTCGCCGATTCTGCCCAGAAACTGTCGCACAGAGCTGGGATCGAACCCGCGCCTCTCTGCGCCAATCTTGGTACTCTGAACTTTAACCACTGGGCCACCCTGCCCTTAACCACTTTTGATAATAACATTTTAGATCAGTCTACTTACGCATTACGTAAATTCTAGTGCGTAGGTCAAAAAGTTGCGTATACTTAGCGATATTTATAATCCGGCCCCAGATGAAAAAGAATTTAGTGTTTCCCATACATGCTTTTAATTTTAATATTATGTTTGGAACTACTCTCTCGAAACTGAATGGTTCATAAATTGGTTTCCACTTAGAACGGTTCAGAATTGGTTTCCACCTCCAAACATGATGTGATATAGGAGGTTCAATATTATTAATATATTTAATTGATGCGATATATATTGATAATAATATTGTACTAGATCTGCTTCCTTAATTTAACAGTGAAGTAACAACAAGTTACAATTACTGAAGAAATCTTCACAGTAAACGTAGAAAAATGTAATATAAGATGTAAAAGCGACTGGTCCTCCGATACTGGTAACAGGCGCATGAAAAGTGGCTGGCCAGGAGATTACGTATTCACAATCTGATGATCCAGCGTTTGTTACCAAAAAGAAATTTTTAATAAATATTCAATTTCTGTGGTTCATGAACTGCGGCTAAAATGTGTAAACTTGCTTGTTGAATGTCGGGGATGTCAAATGTAGAGGTACCCCGATTGTATATAACTTATATATAGTAAAATGTATATAGTATATGTTCATCTGAAGGACAGGGATTCGATGACTATGTGAGGGATAAGTAAAATCCCTAAAATTTGTCTATAGTATCCTAGACAAATCTTAGTACGGGATGATAGGTTACAGTCATCACATAGGTACAGGTACAAGGCTATTACCTTCGGCCGTCAGGCCAACACGCTCCTAATACAGTGAGCGCCACATCGCCGCAGTCGTGCAAGTTACTGGGGTGGACTTTTGTGGATACATAACGATTTGTATCCAAAAATTACTCACTGAATGAGTGCCATATGATGGAATTTATACCATCATTTCCACAGGAAATTCGATTTTGAAGAAGTATCAAAGCCAGCCTCAGTGTCGTCGTCATGCAGTTCATCATATTGGGCACCTTGCTCTGCCTCGTCGCTGCCACAGTCGTCAAAGATCAGGACGATGCGCCTCAGGTAGACTAATTTACTAACTCATATATTAACAACAAATGGGCATGCTGAAATACATGCCACAATTATTACATATATTTTAATTTGATCTATACTTCTCTAAATTTGAGTGTTATAAGCATTTTAGGGTTTATTGGAGCGCAAAATAAACAATAAATCATTAAAGTGTCATATCTTCGTGCATGCTGTCCCCCCTTTAATCAAGTTACCACAGTGCTTTCGTTTTAATTATAATTTTGAATATTCTAATTTCATTTCACTGAACTTTCTATTGTAATCAATTCCCATTGTGTATCGCAAAGGAACTATTATCGCTTATAAAAATTTGTAAATTTCTCACATTCCTTGTTCTCGACAGGTTCAAGTGGACGAGCTGAAAAAATTTAATCTCTTCGAAGTAATTCCAGGGCAAGAAAAGACCAGGGACCTGTCACTGCAAGGAGGGACTCCCACAATTGTGCCCAAGTCAGTAAATACACGAGAAATTCACATATGACAATGACACAAATGACATCGAAAAATTCACAACACCAAACTGCTAACTCTTTTTACGCAGTGCATAATAAATAATAGGAATTTATGGAATTCCCCCAGAGGTAAACTTTAGGCCTCTGATGGTATTTGTTTAGTATAAGGCCTTAATAGAATAGAATAGAAGTGTCGGCGTTGAAAAAAATAGGCCCATGGTCTGTTGCCGATTCTTGAACTTTTCGTGACTTGATTCACAAGGGATCCGGCCTTTGGAACCCGATCTTGCTATAGCTGACGATTGATTGAGATAGCTGCTGGACTTATTGCCCGATCCGTAATTTGCTAGGCATTTTAAGACTGAACATATGCTCCTGCATTGCTTCGTCTAGTCTGTTTTTGAAGATGTTCGTACTCGGAGCTTCAACGATGCTATCAGGGAGGCTGTTCCACATGTCGGTGACTCGAAGCGAGAAGAAATGTTGTCGCATGGATGTGTTAGATCGCAGCCTCTTGCATGCCGTTATATTCACAACGACGTTAAGTGCCTTGGCACAGCAATCAGTAATAAATTCAGCATCTGAAGCATTGCTTTCGGGAACGTTAAAACAAACAAGGTTAAGTCTTCTTCTCTCTCTATCCAGCAGTTCACGAGTGCTCTCGTTGGTGAGATCAGAGATGACCTCTTTGCGGCCTTTACCTTCTGCGTTATCGCTATTTTCTGTTTTGTGCAGATGAGCTTTCATTTCTACAAGCTCGTTTCGTAACGAGTGTAATTCGCTACGCAACAAGCTCAATTCTTTCTTGTGGTTCTCCTCCATTTCGGCTCTCTTTCTAAACTCTTGCTTGTTGGTTTCTTCAATTTCGGCTTTAAAAACAGAAAACATAGAAGAGCACTTCTCTTCCACCATTTTTTCGCTCAAGTAAATTCCGAGATCTGATTATTCAACAAATAAGTTTTAGTCTTTAATATCTATTCAAAAATGGTTAAGGCATGGAATTTAGTCATCCTTAACTGTGGTAAAATTCACCTTGTATATTTGATTTCATGTGAACAAAAGTGTGCGATTTTTGCAAGCATGAGTTTCCTTGGTTTCCTTAGTTTATCACATGTTTTGGTAAGATAAAAGAGATTGAATCCAGACAAATGACACGCTGCCTAACGATAATAGCGAGGTAGGTCTTCAGCCAAGGGTTGCCTGCCAAAGACCACCGCTGCCCTGGATGTAATGGACCATCATGATTCCTACCTTCCGGAACGTAGCCTTCAACTCTTCTGGACAATCATATCTAGGCCGTGCGTCGAACCAGCCCTCGGTCGAACGGCCACTCGTCGAAACGCGAACATTTTTGAAACAGAACTATGCTATCTGAAACCCAACCTCAGATGCGGTGAACGTAAAATTACGTATTAACAATGCACGGAAGTCATATTCGATCCGCGGCCTGGTGATGCACGGCAGGTTGTTTGCAAGGCCGGAGGAGGTCAAAGCCGAATGGTTCACGGCTGATTGGCGGATGTCCGGAGAGATCCAAGGCGTTCGATTCAGGGCTTATTGGTGCACAAAATTGGTGGTGCACGGCTGCACTCCCTCAGCCAGTATTTAAGCATGTTCGCTCATAAGCATGAAGTTCCGCCTCCGGCTGCACCTACTCCGGCCTAGCCTCTTCTGGCCTAACCTATTCACGCTGTCCAGGCTCCCAACCTTCTTGCAGCCAATGACTGGCTCTACCAGCACAATTGAATCGTCTTTCTAACTTCCTGCTGCCAATGAGGTTAGGTTACGTCCGCCCAAGTTTGTTTTGGGTGACAATGTCACAACTTGTGTAGGTTATGCCTGAAGAATTTAGGCAGGAAGAGGTTTGGCCAGATGCAGGTGAGCAATGCGTGCCTTTAGCAAGCTGTTTTCGTGGTAGCTTTTAGTTGTTGCCGTGGACATCCAACGCTATGGTTTTAGGCAGTTGACTTAATAGGTCTTTATGCCTCTTAGTGTTCTTACACAGGGAAATGAATATGAACTAAGTGTGAAGTTTGGCAAAGCTGGCCTGCAGCATGAGCCTCGAGAATGTTTAATTCAAATACGGATAGTGTAAACGCAAACTGAGGAAACCTATGGAGAGTAGTGAAGCGTTAAGAATGATTTAGTGGTAATATTTCAGAAACCTTGATACGTCTAAGCTCTAAAGTACATGTGACGCCATATTAACGTCGCTTTTGGACGTCTTCGTTGTCCTCAGACGGGCAAGAACTACACCGGCTGATACCGACACTGCAGATACCTTCGCTGCACCCTACCGTCGTACAACTGCAGACATCCTCACTGCATGTTTAGGCACTGATGATATCCTTGAGCAATGTTCTACTACCACTGCGCCTGCCACTACAAATACTACCACTGCGCCTGCCACTACAGGTACTACCACTACGCCTGCCAGTACAGATATCACCACTACGCCTGCCAATACAGATACTACCACTGCAGATACCACCACTATTTCGCCTGTCACCTCAGCAGTTTCTACAACGCCCACCTCTGCCACCTCTACGCCACCTACTACTAGTAAGTTCATTTAACATTTTGTGAAATATGACTGATATATCACTCAGTTGGCGATTCAAACAACACATATACTTCTAATACCTCCCAAGATGACTTTTATAGAGACTAATATCCGGCAGCTGACATGGGTGCTCAGAGATGTAACCACACGCAATGCTTGCCTGTCAAGAACTGTGCCACCGATTCCGTTGTGGGATTATGCGGGGTGTCTGAGGCCGACAAGGCTTTCTTCGTGGAAATTCACAATCAGGCTCGACGATTGGTTAGAAACTTTTATGAAACCTTTTATTTGTAAATATCATATCAAACCTTAATATATTTCAGTTGAAACTCATGCACGGCACTATTGACCCGAAGAAAATATCAGCGAAATGATGATTTTGATTGAATCAGTAGCTGTAACTTCTTAAGACACAGTATTTTCAAAGCTATTGCGGTAATTCTCATCCACTTCCTTCAGATCGCGAATGGTCAAGCGAAGAATATGCCCGCTGGCACGAACCTCCGCGAGATGACTTGGAACGACGACCTGGCGCAGACCGCACAGGTGGGGACCGCTGGCAGAGAACTTGATTCAGTGATTGTATCGGCACCATTAAATATTTTTATTCATTTTGTATTGTTTTTATCAGGTACCTTGATTAATGCGGAACGTCATTTGAATGTATGACAACAATCGTTCTAGTTTGAAAGCGATGAAAATTAGTTGTAATTGTGTTTTCAGCTATTTTAATCATTACTTTAGTTTTAATTATGCTTGTTGGAAGCATATTGCCAACCATATTTAAAGCTCGTTAGTGCAAATCGGTTCCATCGCAAATTTTACGGTCGAAGATTTTGTTTTTTTTAAGTGTATCATATCCGATATCTGACGAATTAAGCCTAAGAAAATCAAATTATCCGTCATTTTTATTGTTCTATAGACCAATTTTATGCTCTCGTCTACGGCGCAGCAATGGGTGACAAATTTAACTTTTAAATTAGCCCTGGAGTCAACGTAAATAAAATTAACTGTAAGCCAGACCCCGTGAGCCAGAACAGGAACGCCTTTATTAAAGCCTCATTGGCCGTAAATATACAGCCACCGCTTAAAATTCATAAGCAGTCGGTTTTGCATCAGGCCTACCTACTCACCTTGCCCCGCATCTGCACCTTCCTGCAGTAAATAAGGCTGGGGTATGTCTCTTTATTTTTGTTATGGGTGGATAATCGAGGCAAGAACTGCCTGCGTATGAGCGAGCCCCGAGCAAAAGCTGCGGACTTGCTGTGGTGGACTAGCGCGAGGAAAATGAGAAGAATAATAAAGAAATTATTCACACCTGAGTATGTATAACACACACTGATTTAAGATGAGGGTGCGATTCATTCTAATTCTATTGCTTACAGTTACTGTTCGGAGTACCAAGATTGGAGTAGAGATGTGCGGGTTCGATCCCAGCTCTGTGCTACAGTTTATGGTCAGAATCGGCCAGCAGGCAGGGAGGTTAAGCAAAGCAAATATGAACGGGCAAGTAGTGAGTTTAAGACCGCAACAAGCTTTGAATATTCTGCGACATTGAGAATCGGCGACAGGCCTACGGCTAATAAACGCTGAAACCGCTATTATCTATTTCTGCAATCACTTGACTTCGTAGGCCATTATGCGCTCTGGTATGCTTACCCACGAATAGGAATATGAGCTAAAGTGTGAAGTTTGACAAAGCTTGCCCTGTAATGCTGTATTTGCTTACCGCGATCTGCTCGAGTTTCTTTAGCCGCAGAATGATCAGACAACTTGGTGACGTGTTATCCTGAGTGTTGAGAGTTAAACCTAAGGCTACTAAAGCAGAGTCAAGGATGGGATATGAGGCACTGTGAACTTCATGAAGAATATCTAAGTGTAGACGGTGGTTTAGACAGTCGACAAAACACAATATAAATTGTAACAACACACGCCGGGGCATGGCAAGCGCTTACGCAGATCCCCCTAACAGGCCTAACTTAACTGGCTTCGCCCATTAAATTAATGCTTTATATACATTAGCAAGAATGAGTGTTTTGGACTATTTTGATCTGAATGATGCCAAATCATTAACTCAAACTTGAGCAATATTTTCAGCATCCATTGAATAATACGTCTAGATCACCAATATATGTAGATTCCACTAAATATACTGAGGCGCCTGAAGAAGTGAGTATCTTGTACTAACGGTTTTCACTTCGAACCTTCTCGGTGAAAGTCTTTTCAAGCACCGAAATTCCGCAGGGTCCATCATTGGCCTGGTTACTTCCTCAAATTCTACAAGACATTAAGATCACATTTCGATTGAGATGAAAAAGAAGAGTCGTTAAATCTTACAATTAATATTTCTCGCTTTCACGCAGAAGCGGAACGTCTTTGTCTATCTATGACTACTTAGCTCATCATTCCTACCAGACGCCTTTTATTTAATTTGAATTTATATTATTACAGAATTGATGTCACTTGTTTGCTTAAATCGCAAATTAACTAAGAATTTAAAAGCAAAGAATAGTCCACAAAAATTCATATCTTTATAGAAAACGTTCTGGAGACCAGCACCCTCGTCAGTTCGTAGAATCTAGAATTACAAATTAGAAGTCACAAATTAATACATTGAAAGCACAGAAAGAAATTAAAAACCCTAAATTTGCAAATAATAGACGGAGCACAAAAAACTGTCTATTCACAATTTCAATGGGATAGGAGCTGACTGTTGAATTCAAACTGGGCCTAAGTTTAAAAATGTAAAATGATTCTAAAATACGCAAATTTGAAGTACCTGAGGTGGAGGCTAACACCCCAAAGTCACTGTCAGAAACAGGGACATCACGCTGCTCGGCGTGAGCGCGCACAGCCGAAAGAGGGGGGGCGCGATAGCAACTGTCCGGTTCTACAACTCCTGCCCTTATGCTCAGCGACCCTGGAATAAAGATTGCGTGACTTCATCCCGACGTACGCAACAATATTGATAAACCAGGGATGATCGCATATGACCAGGGAGCATATCTTTATATCTAAAGAAAGAACCGATTGTGAAATTGTTTACCAGCACAATATGAAGATTGATAAACGGGAAGTATCTATTGAACAAGACTTTTAATTCTCTTGACATAGCTTCGGACGCAGGGCCGAAGTATGGAAAAGAACAATAAATAACGTTCCTACTATCGCGCTCAGGAGCAACTTCACTGTATCGCTTCAACATGAATTGCTTGATTTGGGTAAACACGAAACTTGCCGGAAATCCATTAAGAGAAAAAATATTGCATAAAAATTCAAATTCAGCGTGTATATAGCATGGTATGTAGAACAAATGCGGAAACCTCTATGTAATAATGTTTGAAGCCCATTCAACTTGAATCGGAATGAACAAAAACTAAAGAATTTGGGACTTAGGCCGGTGAAAGTCGGTTTTCGGTACACAGAAGTCAGAAAACGGTCATTATACTTGGTAACATTGCAATCGAGGAAGAAAAAAATATTGTTAGATTTAAGCTCCAATGTAAATTTGATAGAATTATGTTGCGAGTTTACGTAATCAAAGAATGGTTGACATGAGACGGATGTTCGAAAATTAAACATCCTTCACATTTTAGGTCCAATTTGAATTCAACTGTTAGCTCCTGTTCCCTTGAAATTGTGGACAAATAGTTTCTTTGTGCTCCGTCTATTATTTGTAAATTTCGTTTTTTTTATTTCGTTCTGTGCTTTCAATATATTAATTTGTGACTTCTAATTTGCGATTCTAGATTCTACGAACTGACGATGGAGCTGGTCTCCGAAACGTTTTCTATAAAGATATGAATTATTGTGGACTATTATTTTTTTTACATTCTTGGTATTCTATTATTCCTTTCCAGCGCTGGGCGGAGCAGTTAAAGCATGGTTATGATAGCAATGTCATCCTTCGTCCTCCTTGCTGTTTCGTCCCGGACTACGACTCTATTGGCCAAAATATCTACACCTTAGATTTGAAAGCTCAAAACTCAGGACAGCTATCTGTAAAAAAATAATATAAATACACCTACATACTTACATTAAGTAAAGTACTAAGTTAAGAGCATATTTACACGTTAATATTCACGTCGCTCGTAAGGCATCAACATAAACCATATATCAACATGGATTTTACTGTTACGTGACAAATCATATCATGTGAAGTACAGATACCTGATCTATAAATATGAGAATTTTTTAAACTGTTTTTAAAATATTTTTTTTTCGACTCATGTTGAGCAGTCGCAAGTGTGGCAGTACCTCTTTGAACAAGGGTGGGTTCCAGGTGCTAGTTTCGTGAACGGCTCGACATCCACATGGTATGCTCAACCAATTACCCAGGTAACTCCTGATACCCGGATTTGGGTAATCGGGTTCCTCAATTTTGTACTACTGCTAAATATTATGATAAAAAAGTATATCTGCATTTTTGGACTATACAGTATAGTCAGTGGAATATTATCCGTTCCAACATACGTCTTATTCGTTGAGTAAACCTGAATAAAATATAATTAATATTGTATCATTTGTATATAGCAAAAGCTGATCTACTTAATATCCATACCACACTAGCATCATTTTCTGCTGAATTAACCGAATATAGGCTAACAATTTTTATGCATTTGATGGTTGAAACATCGTTACATTACGGTTCTTAACATCATGTCTCATTTGCACATGAACTTCAGGCTTTATGGCATGACACTAGTCAAATTGGCTGCGGAATCTTCGCTAGCAACAAAGATTGTGCTTCGCTTGGCGTTGACCCTGATGCTTCGATTGGCGGGGACCCTAATTCCAACTGTGTCAAGATCGTCTGCAACTATGCACCCGCGGGCAATGTGATCAACCCAGACGGTACTCGCCCGCCCCCCTACAGCACCACCGAGGGCTGCGTCACACCCTCCACCAAATACCCGGGGCTTTGTGCGAACTGAAAACGCCATCAGAGCGACAGCAGTTGATGTTTTTTGACAGGAAAGATCTATTCTTTATTTGGTCTAAACTTTTTCGCGAGGGCTGTTTAGTTTTGTTTCAGGAAAGAGCTACTTCCTTATATAGAGCAGTTAAACACTAAAATTTTTTGTGTCGGGACTAATCCTGAATTAGTCCCGACCCCATCTCAATTAGTACCCCCATCTCAAACTGGGTTGCAAGATTGTCCTTTTTACCGGGAAAATTCCGCGATTTAATTTTTTTTAATTGCGTTGGCCGGCAAAAATTTCTGATGGCGGGTCGTCCTTATTGCATTTTACAATATATAATAGAAAGGAAAATTTTATTTTTGCACCTCATCCTTCAAATTTTATTGAATTGTACCTCAACCGTAAATATTGAATTGTAGGCCTCTTTTGCCCTTTTTTGTCCGAGGACTTGGCCTTTTTTGACCGTATTGCAACCCTGATCTGACCAATAACATGGAACCTGGGTTTCATTTGGAAAATTTGTTTGATTTCGCAGTTTACTTCTACTTTAAAGTTTCTGCAAGTGCCCACTTTTGCTTGAGGGATTTTTTGTTGATGATAAAAATTCCCATTCGATAATTACTCTCTTGATTGAATAAAAATCTTCTGCATCGAGTGCATCTTTTCATTCCTCCTAGACTGAATACTTTACTTTACTTTAAACGAGTGATGCTTTAACCTAAAACTTTTTATAAAGATATCAGTCTATGCCTCTTTGGGTGACTAACATTCAACAAAACTTTACCACCACCAAAACCACCTTAAGGTAGTTGCAACACAATTGCATCACTTTCTTTTACACTTCTTAACGTTAATGTATAAATTCGTGTACAATTTACAATTCGTGTACAATTTAAACTTTCGTTTAAGAGAATAGTGAATAGTTAATAAATCCTTACCCAATACCTAGCACTCCAAACCAAAGCATCGTAAACGGTGAATCATACGTGTGACTACTCATTTAACGTATAATTGCAACAATCATATTCATATACTCATTTTAATTTGGACGCGGTGGAGAGTCTTAGCCAAGGATGAGATATAATTGTAATAGATGGGATCAAATTTCATCACTTAATGGATATTTTCCGCCTAAAACGAGAACCTGCAGTGAAAACTACAACAGAAATTGCTGTTATATCGTTTCTGCTGTTCCGGCGGACATTTGCCCATTTCGGAGACCTGCTCATGAAACTGGAAAAGTATTTCCTAATATACGAAAAAATTCCCCGTTTTATTGTGGTACGGATTAACTAGACGCCGCCTAATAAAAAAAATTTCTGAAACAATCTGCACTTTCCACCAATGCTTTAATTTGTTTTCGGCTCCCTCCCTTCCCCTTCGATGACTTGGATGATACCATGTTGTTGTCATTGTGGTATTTATTGGTAACACGCCAGCAGGTCGTGTTGTCAAACTATAAACCACTATATATTCAGATTATTCAATGATCCCCCTATTCTACTTCAGGGTTTGGAAACGAAGAATGTAAAGGCTTGTTTAGATATCACAGCAGTAACTTTTCAATGCCCATGTTTCTTTTCCAAAACTTGGGGTCTAAATATTTGAGCTATAAATATCCACGATACTAACATATATATGATGATGTCGGGTTCAGTTGATAGATCAAAAGTTTTTATATATATTCAGGAAATCCTAACAGCTTAGAATCGCGATCATAACTAGACTACTAAACCATAAAGAGGAGAGGTACTTAGCTCTGTCTTGATCGAGTTGCGTACTGCAGCCTATAATAGCTCAGTCAGCCTCGCAGGGACACCAGAGACAAAGTGCTCTAACTTAACTGGCTCGGCCTTACAATAATAATTATAATAATAATAATAATAATAATAATTGCGGTTTCAGCGTTTATTAGGCCGTAGGCCTGTCGCAGATTCTTAACAGCGCAGAACATTCACAGCATTTTGCGGTCTCGAACTCGCAACTCACTGCTAACCGCCCGGCCTCCTCGCCGATTCTGACCAGAAACTGGCGCACAGAGCTGGGATCGAACCCGCGCCTCTCTGCTCCAAACCTGGTACTCTGAACTTTAACCACTGGGCCACCCTGCCTGGGCCACCCGGAATACTACAACAGGTAGTATTCCGCGCAGTAGTGCGGATAATATTCTTACAATATACAACACATCTAAAGTTTAATCTAAGATGAAAGGACTGCTAAATTAATACAAAATTCAGGTAGTGACATGCGAGCATAGTTCACGAAAATTCATCTTATAAACGATATTCAGCTTAAAACAGTCTAAAAAGTTATAATCAATGTAAGGTACTAGTCTATGCACGAAACAGAATTCACTGCTGCCCTTGCCAAGCGACGGTCCAGCTTATGGCACCAAACTGTGATAAACCAATTCAAGAGTCGAGATTCTTCCGCTGATCGCTCCTTACAGTGACAAGGCAATTTCAGGGAAGGGACGATTCAGTTGATCGCGCCTGACGGCGACAAGGGGATTAGAGAAACGAGACAGTTCAGCTGATTGCGCATGAGACTCAGACAATACATGGGACGACAATACAAGACAATACGTGGGATGAAAATCAGCCCATTTTGGCAATAGGACGATGCGTAGCTCTCAGGAAACGTTCAGCAATATTTCTTTCTAATTCATCTGCCTGTTAAAACACTTCAAATCACTGAGCAGGATGACACTTCCATAATGGAGACTGGATAAAATTCGTGATATAACTAGGAAAAATGCTTTAAAAAGATGTATATGTCAATAATCATCCATAATATATCATAAAACATGTCACCTGAAATACTTAATAAATTAACAATTGATTAATATTCATAAATAATACCAGTCGCAATTTATACTAAAACTATCTCCGCGTAAAATTTTGGAGTGGCCCCCACCATATCACTCCCGCTCGTACATTATTCGTGTAGAGTGCCTTAGGGTACGGCCAGACTAAAAGCGAGAAAGCTGAAGCGCGCGGAAGCTTGGAGCGCGCTGACGCAGGCAGGCGCGTGTAGGTGGCCAGACACAACGCGAGGTGGCGCGAATGCGATCAGTTGCAACGATGGCGTCTCGGCGACAGGTGTTTCTTAGTGATTCTTCTTACCTCAAGTTTTTACAATTACAACGTGAGAATCCATAGATAGGCATTCATCCCATCAACGCATCACGCCATGAATATGGAGAAACCTATCACTTGTTTCGTGAATTGAAAAAGAGCGCCCAGAAATTTAAGGAATATACAAGAATGACGATAGAGAATGATAAGAATTACCTTGCGTGCACGTTGTTAGTAAAGAAGTGAGCGTTCTAGCACGGGTTGGTTAAATGGGTTAATCACTGCCAGTTACCCCTATCTGCCTTTTTCAAGTGACTCCTATCCAATGGCAGCGAATCCTGACCATTCATCAAGTCGAAGGGCGAGTTCATACCCTTCTCAGTCCACCAACTATTCCACTGTCGCGGAATACCCAGATACTTCAGCTTCCGTATCGCAATACCCGTCTAACCATGGGTCTGAAGCAATATAGGGCCCAAAAGACGATACTTCAATTTATGCTTTACTATCCTCTGGCCAACGTAAATCCTTTGTATTCAGAATTCAAGTAGAAATGCTTCAAGGAACATCAAACACAAATGGAAATAAAATATCAAATAATTGTCTATTGACATATTGACATGGTTTGCTTTAATTGCTTAGAATTTAATTGTAAAAAATTGAACACACTTTTCAACCAAATTTTATCTCAGAAGTGAGCATTTAACAGCCTAGTTTAATAACTCTCCAAAAGTTGTGGTCCAAAAGTCGTGTCTCTGAGCCTAAACATCAAGACATTTGAGATAAATCTTGAACATTGATCAACGAGTTCTGAAGCATTCTCAATGCTAACATCAGCAGAATAAGGCAAAACTAAGGCGCAATAGGATGTAACTGGCGGCTTAGGGTAATTCAAATCATTGGCCCTAAAGGCAAATACAGTTTCTTAAAATAGGCTAGTAATGCTGGTAATCTCTGGTGCTATACTGGCCTCAGATCGGATTGAGAAAGAAACTGGCATCAAAAGCCCAGTGTTATCACATTTAGACATGAAATTACACCGTGGTCAAAACATTACTACTCACTTTGTGTTGACGGCTCAGAAAATGCACTAACAAACTAACTATAGATTTGGTAACTTCTTCATTACCTGCGTAAAGAGACAATAGGTTGTCATACATGGAATAAAAAATAGCGAGTAAATCAAAAGAAAGAATAAATTCTGCCCCAGTTAAATCCTGACATCAACGCATCATGATCCTGGTGACATCCACTGACTGAATTACTTTAATGAATTTCCATCGTTCTGGCTATTCAGACTGGATCTATCTAACAAATCCTGTTTAATTGTAAGCTACTAAACATGTACTTCATCGGCACATAACCACTTGAATGGCCTGATCAAGCAGACTTAAAACTCTACCGAATGAAAACATGCCAGGCAAGCATGATGAATATGAGATGAATAACATAGATTGGCAGCTAATTAATGACGAATCAATTAATTATCAACAATCAACATTAATTAGGGCAGTGGTTCTCAAAGTGGGCGGTGGAAGGATCTGGGGGGGGGGCGGTGAGGAAGAAAGGGGCAGTAGAGGGGGCGGCAGTTCGCGAAGTCGGAGTCAGATGTTCGTACGTTTGTCTGACGATTTGTACACAACACATGCAGAACATGACTCCGACTCGAATAAATTTTCACAAGCTAAAAATAACCGTTTGGTAGTTAGGAATTTATATTCAAAATTTCGTTCGAATCTGTTCAGTAGTTTGGAAGAAATTATTTGATCACTGCGAATTTCGGCCCGCATTGCCAGATAACTCCCGAATGAAGGTGAAATTTAAAAATTTTTCCGAAGCTAAACATCACCGTTACTCCGTTAGGTCCTAGTGAATACGTGATTTGAGTTTTATAGAGCTGCGTTCATATGTTTGGGAGATATTCCTTGGTCACTG